CCTGTTCATGTGTGTTCCATATGTATTAGGTGCACATGTGTGTGCTTGTGTGTAGAAGGTCGTGGTCAACCAGGTGACTTCTTTGATCATACTCCACCTTATTTTTTGAGTCAGGGTCTCTCAGAGCTCAGAGCTCATCCATTTGGCTAAGTTAGCTAAATTTGGCTAGGTTGGCTGACTGGGGAATGAGTTTCCAGGATCCTCTGGTCTCTGCTCTACCCTATCCGGGTCCTCCACCGGCACTAGGGTTATGGAGGTATGCCACCATGCTGGGCAATTTTTTTCTTTTTTTTTCGGTCTTTTTGATACAGGGTCTCCCTGTAGCCTCAGCAGGCCTGGAACTCACTATGTAGACTAGGCTGGCCTTGAACATGGCCTCCATCATTTTAAAGATGGGAATGGTCCCTTGAATTCCGCTTTTTTATTTCTTTTTCTTTTTTTCGTCTTTTTGAGACAGGGTCTCTCTGTAGCCCCAGCTGGCTTGGAACTCAATATGTAGACCAGGCTAGCCTCAAACTCACAGATACTCCTGCCTCTGCTTCTTGAGTGCTGGGATTAAAGGTGTGTCCAAGCCCAGCGAGAAAATGCGTAACACAGAAAAGAATGTCATTGGATAAAATTTAAGATGCTAAACTCAGAGAAACAGAAATTAAAATAATAGGCCTCATTTCTGGGATGGGGAACACATGTTAGAAAACAGTTGAAAAGTTTTAATTAGGTCAAGTAATTTGAGATTATAAGGAAGCTCTCACTAAGTGGTAGAAGAGTAAATTGATGATGCTGGGGGAAGGGAAATTAGCAGCACCTAATACAATGTCTAAGAATTTCCATATATTTTAGATGACTTTTTTATGGTTATAGCTATATATTTAAGTATCTACAAATATATACATATATTCAGCAGTTTGACAAAGAATTACATGTTTTTTCTACTTTCATTTTTATTATTTCTGGGATATTTATTAGAGTGAAAATTCCATTCTGTTATCTTATTAAAGATGGTTAATTTTGACTGACAACTTGACTGGATTGAGAGATGCCTAGGAGATTAGCAAAGTGCACTTCTGGGAATGTCTGTGACAGGTATTTCCAGAACGATTAGATCACAAGGGCTCTGAACCAATAAGGAGGTTGATTCACTGATGGAGTCAAAATTTAAAGATACAAGCCAGGCATGATGGCACACACTTATAGTCCCAGCACTGGGAGGCATGGCCATTTATTTGAATCTAGCTTCAGCAAATAGTGAGTGCTAGACAAGCCAGGGTTGCATAGCAGGAAAACTAAACAATAAATAAACAGATTTAAAGAAGTTGTTGGAAGATGGTGGGAATGTGGAAGGTGGGCTCTACCTGGAGGAAGTGCACTGGGGTGTATCTTTGAAGGGTCGTCTTGGCCTGCCCCCTTCCTATCCTTATTTCTCTGTTTTCTAGCCTGAGGTTAAAAGCTCCTTCTGCCACATTCTCCCGCATCCATGACATTCTGCCTCACTTCATGACCAGACTGAAATCCTTATTAAATCTGAAATCTGAAACACAGACCAAACAAGTATTTTTCTTTTAAGCTGTTTTTCTCAAATATTTATACAACATCAACAAGTCTGACTAACACACTTTTAAATGTTGAAAGACAGCACATGCTAAGGGTTGGGTGACTTATCTAACAGCTTTATTTCTACAACATGCAAAATGCTATGGTTTCACATTCAAAGGAATCAGATAGTAACCTATTCAAATCTACCTCCTGTTAATTCTGAGCCAACTCTCAGCACCTCAATTTTTTTCCTTTTTAAAACAGGTTTTAATTTAATTAAGATCTTTTATCATTTTATGACAATGACTAATTCTGCCAAAACTGAGGACCAGTTGGCACCCATCCACATATCTTTAAATTGCAATCTAATTTTGTTTTTTAGTACATCATAGCTAAACATTAGACTTGATAAACACAGTAAATGAATCAACTCTAGCCAGGTATCGCGGTGCATGGCTACAGTCCCAGTACTGATAGGCAGAGATGGGAGGGTTGGGAGGAGTGGGCCACTTCCTGTGCCAGGTGGCTTAGTCTTTTTTTACTGTGATTCCATGTTTAAGAGAACTGATTTATATCATCAGAGTACCCCTGAAAGAGGAAGGAAGTAAGAGTTTTCTCTATGAAATATTTTTTATTTTTAAACTGTCTAAAAACAAAAGCCAGGGTTGGTGAGCTGGCTCAGTGTGAGGATGTTTGTTGCCAAGCCTGAAGACCTGAGTTTGATGCCAAGAGCTCACGTGTTGAAAAGAGAGAACTGACTTCCCCAAGTTGTCCACGGACCTCTACATAGGTGCTGTGACTCTCTCACACACTGGAATAAATATAATTTTTTAAGAAAATGATAAAGGCCACAATTTGGAGCCAGGTGTGGTGGCGCACACCTTTGATCCAAACACTTGGGTGGCAGAGGCAGGCAAATCGCTATGAGTTTGAGGCCAAACCTGGTCTACATAGTGAGTTCCAGGCCAGCCTGGGCTGCAGAGAGACCCTGTCTCAAAATGACAAAAATAAAAATAAAAAGCCAATATTTGGTCTTTGTGCACTTTAGTTGAACACTAGACATGAGATTGCACACTATAAAACTTAAAAACGGAGAAGACTCACATAGTCTTATGACTCTTGCAAATCTAAAAAATAAAATGTCAATATAGAAATATAAGCCAGTGATGGTGCTGCACACCTGTAGTCCTAGCACATGGGAGGTGCTAAGGGGTTTTGGAGTTCAAGGGCATCCTCAGCTAGATAGCAATTTTGAGGTCAGCCTGAGCAACAGAAAACAAACAAAATGAACCCAAGGTAATGGACACTGTGTTTCCTATTTAAAGTTAAAGCCACTTCATACATCTATCTGCATCAATACTAAGAATCTCTAAAAATATTAAGAAACTTCAAGGATGGAAAGAAGGAGAAATGATAGAAATGGAAGTTTCTTTAAAGTTCAAAGTTCTATTTGTAGAGTAAAGATTGAGAAACTCCAAAATGCAACAAGAAAAAAATCCCTGAGTATAACAGCCATCAGATGCAGCATTATATTGGAAAACACGGATGGTGCAGCCTTAAATAAAACCCATGGCAAGGTTAAAATGAGAAAGAAAAGTATGAGAAGCTATTAGAAAAGTACATACAGAAACCAAATTTTCTAAAATATTTTAGTTAAAAAATATATAGCAACTCATGAAATGGCCAGTTTCTGGTAATCTGTAAAATGACAAACACAAAATGATAAACACAAAACACACCAGATATTTGTTCTCTGGGCCTTTTAGAAATCACGGAGTTTTCCCTTTGACCACATCACGTGAATCTACCAAGTGATACACATACCAAGGGAATGGATACTGTTCACAGTGATGGCCCTAGCCAGGCATGAGGGAGCATGCCCATAACCTCAGCACTTAGGAGGCCGAGGCAGGAGGGTCCTGAATTCAGGGCCAGCCTAGGCCACATAGCTAGACCCTGTGTAAAGAAAAGAAACAAAGAAAAAAGAAAAGGAAAGACATTCCTACCCATGAAAATTACCATGACAAAATCGGGAGTCCATATGGCAGCTGTTGGCACTGCTGAATGCAAGTTAAAGGCAAGATTCTCGAAAAGAAAATTAATGTGTATAAAGTATATGAAGCACTCTCAAGGCCCGGGAAGCACCTGATGTATGTGAAGGAACCTAAACCAGGACTATGAAGGGGAAGCTGAAGGGACCGGCACCTGCGTTCAGCTGAAGACCAGCCGTTCTGCCCTGAAAACCAATGGCAAGGAGCCTGCTGCAGAGCCATTCCTATGAACTTGTGGCTTGACTGGAATAAAAATGAAATAAGGGGCTGGAGAGATGGCTCAGCGGTTAAGAGCACTGACTGTTCTTGCAGAGGACCCAGGTTCAATTCCCAGCACTCACATTGTGGCTACAAACCGTCCTTAACTCCAGTTCCAGGGGAATCCGAAGCCCTTCTGACCTCCATGGCATTGCATGACACGGATGCACTCATACACGTGAAATAAAAATAATTAAATATTAAAAAAAGAAATAAGGCCCCTGGACTATAAAAATGTCTTTTTCTTAAGAAGAAGTACAGTGTCCTGCCTCCTAAAGAAATATTTAAAGCAAAAGAGTAAAAAACAGGGAAGGGGAGGTCTGGAGAAAACAAAGGTTTGATTAGAGCAGATCTCTATCAGAGGTAAAGGATGCGCCAGATTTTGGTCACTATGACAAAATCTCTAACAAAAACAATTTAGGAGGAGGAAAGCTCTATTTTTGGCCCATAGTTCCAGAGGATTTAGCCTGTCTTCTTTAGTGGTGACACAAAACTTTCTGATGAAGGATACGCAATATCAAAGCTCAGGGCCACCGGGCAGCAGGGAGGGGCCAGGGACAAGACGAAAGGATGCGCCAGATTTTGGTCACTATGACAAAATCTCTAACAAAAACAATTTAGGAGGAGGAAAGCTCTATTTTTGGCCCATAGTTCCAGAGGATTTAGCCTGTCTTCTTTAGTGGTGACACAAAACTTTCTGATGAAGGATACGCAATATCAAAGCTCAGGGCCACCGGGCAGCAGGGAGGGGCCAGGGACAAGACGTCCCCCTTCAAAGCCATGCCCACAATGACCTATTTTACCTCACCTGCTAAAGTTTCCCCAGTCTCCAATAAACCACTAAGTTATGAATCGTGGTGGGTCAGAGCCCTTAGGATCTGATCACCTCCCAAAGCCACCAGCCCTCAACCCTGTGCACTGGGGGATCAAGCCTTCAACATGTGAGTATTTAGGGGATATTTACAGTTCACTGCATACCAAAGAAAGATACTGGACTCAGTTTATACCAGGAAGTATCTCTTTTAGCTTTGCTCCTGTCAGATACTAAATTATTTCAAACCAGAAAGTGGGATTTAGCAACATGGATTTTGCTACCCCAACCCCTCCAAAAACCCAAGCAAAATAAGACTTAAGCCTTTTGACCAAGACCCCTGATAAGTAGCAAACCTAGACAAAATAGCATCTCAAACCTAGAGGGGACTGGGAAGAACTCCCCCAACACCTCAGGCCCAGTCCACTTCCGTCTGCTTTCCTGAGGCCACAATACCCTGGTGGTCACGAAGCTCTAGGCAGCCTCTAGTCATCCTTCCCTCTTTTAAAGTGAGACCACGCACACTCAGACTTGTCCTAACTTTAGAGTCACACCCTTATGGAGCAACAGCCCCCTTATGAATGCTAGTCCCCCACAATGAAATTCTGTCTTTGATACATCCCCACAGAGATCCAAGTGTGTTTGTAAACCAAATCTCAAGATTTACAACGCTTACCTAGCTTTCCATACTGAATTATTTTAATTATTTACTCAACCATCTAAGCTTTAGTATTTTGGATAGTTTCCTTCAGGTTTTATAAGATTTTATCAAAATGATCTAATCTATTAAAATATTTACATATTTAGCCACCAAT